TTACTACTTACTGAGCTGTGTGTTACTGTAAGAATGAGTGGAATAGAATGAATTAACAGCATGCCATTCTTTCCCTTAAATAATTTACAACGAAGTACATCACACAAAGCACAAATGACCACAAAACAAAACAAGAATCTCCTAGGTCATTGAAAAAATCAAACATAGGTGGGCCTTCCAAAGACAGAGAGATCCTATTTGCTTTGTTGTGATTCATGTAAACGAGAATTGAATGTTGTTAATTGCAATATTTGTATGAAAGGGATACTTGATTTATTTTCATTTTCCTATTTCTGTTTTCAGTGCTGGAAAGGCAGTCAAGAACTAATTTTAACAAGACACTGTGCCCCTCTAGTGGCTGTTTCTGAAATTACAGACAGACATTGCCTTACCTAGAGAAGGCCTAAGGAGCTCTGGTAGCGTAGTGGTTACGAATCAAACTGCTAACCTCAGGGTCAGCAGTTCGAAACTACCAGCTGTCCTGCAGGAGAAAGATGAGACTTTCTGATCCCGTAAAGATTTGCAGGTTCAGGAACCCTGTACAGCGTCACTATGAGTCAGAACCTAATCCACGGCACACAATCACCAACCACCATCACCAGAGGAGTCCTGGTGTGGTGCTAGGGGTTAATGCACTGGACTGCAAGTTCAGCTTGAATCATAAGGGCGGTGGTTCAAGACCACCAACCATCCATGGAAACCCTATACAGGGTCGCTATGAGTCGGAACGGACTCGATGGCGATTAAAAACAACAGAGGAGCCAGCCAATTTCAAGAGTATTCTGTTCTATGATAGGATCACCACTCAACAAAAAAAGACTATGAAGGTTAGAGTAAAATGCCCTCTATCACTCTAGCATGCTGTTTCACAGACCCCAAAAAGAACTGTGAGGTGGTAAAGAGTGTTGACTCTGGGATCATATAAGCAGGTTTAACCCTGGCTCCATCAGAATAACTCTGTAACCTTAGCAAGTTAATTAGCCTCTCTCTTCCTCAGTTTGCTCACCTGCAAATTGGGGATAATAATTATATCAAACTCATGGGATGTAACGAGAATTAGGAGAAAGACTACATAAAACATTAAGAATGCCCATGGCTTAATTTTCAGCCAAGCCATAGATAGGTATATGGGGGAACAACACTAGTGAGGTATGCATACTATGGAGTGATCAACCATTTAGGATCCTTAGGGCAGCATTTACCTAAAGACAAAATTCAGAAAGGCTAGGAAAGAAGGAGGAAGTGGGATAAGTGATGTTACATATGTGTGTGTGTGTGTGTGTGTGTGTGTGTGCACGTGGGGGGGTTGCAATCATTGAGATGAAGCAGTGTATGACTGGTTGAATGTAAAACTGATTATCTGATCTTTAAGCCTTCACTCAATTCATAGTAAAAAGTTAAAAAGACATTAAGAATTACGTCTTGTCGCAGTAAATGCTCAATTATTTTTATTAGAAGTAGCAATTTTTTCTTAATGGTTAAAAACTAAAGTGTTTTTACTGCTTGAAATTTGAATAGAAATAGTGTACTGAAAGCTAAGATTTAAATTCAAACACAAATTCAGTAAACAATGAATACATACAATGCATGTGTTGATTTGGATCTCAAAGAGATCTGACTTTAATTCCTGTTTTGCTGCTTACAAGCTGTGTGTCTCTGGCAAGTGATCTCCCCTCAGAAGCCTCGGTTGCTTTGGCTAAAATCGGGGTTAGCCTCACAAAGTTCTGGTAAGGATTAAAAGAAATATAATATGTGTAATAGGAGCTCTGATAACGTATTGGTTAAGAGCTGGCTGCTAACCTCAAGGTCAGCAGCTTGAAACTACCAGCCCATTCTGTGAGAGAAAGATGAGACTTCCTGCTCTTGTAAAGATTTACAACCTCAGAAACCCTATGCAGGGTTGCTATGAGACAGAACCGACTCCTCGGCACACCACCACCACCAATGTATGTAATGGAGCCCTGGACTCCTGGTGCACTGTTGTAGGAAAAGTACTGGATTACTAACCACAAGGTCAGTTGTTCAAACCCACCAGCTGTTCCTCAGAAACCCACTACAGGGTGGGTTTGACTCAGAACGGAGTCAATGACACTTAAGAACAATTGCACAATGGAACCCTGGTAGTGCTGTGGGCTAGGCATAGGACTTCTAAACCACAAGCCTGGTGATCCAAATCCACCAGCCGCTTCATAGGAGAAAGATGAAGCTATCTGTTCCTGTGAAGGTTTAGTCTTAGCATAGATGGGGCCGTTATGAGTTGGAATCCACTCGATGGCAGTGTGTTAATGTGCTTGAGTACTAGCTACAATAATTTATTAAACAGTAACTATTCTAAGCAAACATAACATTCTACTTAAACCTACTAGCTACTCCTCTAAAGCCCTACATAGGGCTGCTATGAGTCAGAACCTACTCCATGGCACTTAACAATCAAAACAAATGCAAACATTATATGCAAAGTTTTGAGAAGTATAAATCCACATTACATGTTTCCCATGGCACTACACATCTGAATGACATGATTGCAGAAGAGGAGTGTTCATTATGTGTGAATGGTCAAAGTAGAGGCAGAATTCCGTTTGAGCATTCAGTCAGAACTCCATAATTTAAGACAAAACTGGGATTCATTTGGGACATTGGGAAGGCGAAGAGGGTGGTAGAGCAAGTCCTGGTCAGAGTCAGCAGGTGGATTTGTGCTCTGACTTCAGACATCATGACTGGGACTTAAGGTTAAGCCCACAAGCCAGCTGGCAGCCATATATATTTTTAAAAAGCCAAGGAGTATAAAGAATAACTTGAACAGTCACCGAGTAGCTTGACTAGACCTGCATACTGAGGATTGATTTCCCTAGGAAGTAATCTATTTGAAGTCTGTGTTCCTTCCCAGCTCCATCTCCTTGGGGTCAAGAAGGGCTCTATTCTAAGGTTAGTGAGTAAAATGTCATCTCACTGCAATGCGTCCAGAGGCATTCCCAGTAGAACAGCAGACAATTCAGAGATGGCGGTGAGCATCTTTCATCTTGGCTGATGCAGTGTTTGTTTTTTTAGTCAAACTGTATCTTTCTAAATTTTATTAATCATTTCCAAATTCCTTCATTTTAGTAAGGGACTTTTCTACCCTTGCCAGCAATGTGTCTTATATTCACAAACTTTATTATCTATGTTTTCTTTCCACAGTGCCTCTTACTTTATCTTTCTCATTTCCGATTTCCAGAGCCTACAGAAAACAAGGAACCTAAAGTATATGGGACCACTAGACTTTGAAATGTCTTTTATAGCAAATAATGTCTGGAAGTCTAAGATCTAGTTCAAATACAATTAGTACTACTAGTGCACTGCTTTTGCAGAATTTGTGGGGCTACACATCATACAAATAATTTTTAAATCTTCCTGATTTCTTGATTATACTCTTCATTCTTTCTGAGTATTAAAATAGAAATTAAATTGTTTTAAGCCTAGTTGTTGTCAGGTGCCATCGAGTCGGAACTGACTCATAGTGACCCCATGCACAGCAGAACGAAACAATGTCTGATCCTGGGCCAACCTCACTACTGCTGCCACACTTGAGTCCATCAATGATGCCACCTGGCCAATCCATCTCATTAGGGGTCTTCCTCTTTTTCTCTGACCCCCCACCTTACCCAGCATGACATCCTTCTCCAGCGACTGTTTCCTCCGGACATAGCATTTAACATTATGTCAGGAATAAGGTTTTAAGCATAGCATTTAACATTATGTCAGGAATAAGGTTTTAAGCATAGCATTTAACATTATGTCAGGAATAAGGTTTCTCACAGTGGGTTTCTTTTTCCTCAACTAAGCGTGTCAGGATTCCAGTGGTACTCTTAGATTACACCTGATTCCCAGGCACAAAGGGAGAATTCTCAAGCAGACTGATAAACTGCCATCTCTTCAGCAGCTCCTTTAGCATTCCAATGAAGTTGTTTTATGTCTCAGTCCTTTGGGATCTTGTCACATTTCATTACTAACTAAACTCATTTTTACAGAGTCATAAATTAATTATTTGAAGTAAATTTACTAATATCTGTACCTCATTCCACAATCTTGTTAAACTCTTGGCAATTAAGTATAAGAGTTATTGTGTTATTCTTCATTAGTATCCAAAGGAAATGACTGACGGGGAAATTAAAGGCTTTAACATCCTAAATAGGAGCATATGTCCTGTTTTAGATTTTAGGTTGAAAACTCTGAAAATGATCATTCCATCAGTAATGCTCTTTCATTGCCTTGCAGTGCTAGTATGCCTGCATTAGAGCTTGTTAGGAATCCTGCTAGAACATCTTAAGACTAAAGTAACTGGAATCCAACTCAAAGTTCATTCATTTTCTTAAAGACATTTTCATCTTATAAATTCTTAGTGTCACTTTTATTTCTCTCAGGAGGCCATCACTGGTGAAAAATGACAATATGAGGCTCTTTCTTTTTTACAAATAGTACATTTGATTTCTAATTATTGGTGATGACTTGATTTTTTAACTAAAGAACACAGCCTTGAACCTTCATAATCATCAAGAACAAGGACTTGGTGTTACATAAATATTTTACTCTTTGGATTAGTAAATGTTCTGTTAATTGGCTAATCCACATTTCTATTCAAAGAACATCTTAAATAAATGAAGTTTTTATATAATACCCCCAGAAAATTTTTTAGCAAACATACTGTGCTTTTTGCCATCAACATCTCAAAATATCTGAGAGAAATATTAATAAGTAAACTTTTAAAAAGAAAAGAAGATTAGACCTGGTTGTAAAAACTCATAAGTCATCTTTTCCCTCAGGACTGATTGACTTAAACAAAGGAGTGGAATTAGTTTTTGCTGTCTGCTGTAATGTATGAGGATGATAACTACTTAACTTCTCTGATCCTAAAGCATGAAGCTTTTAATCAGCTCATACCTAGATGAAGGAGCAGATCTGTTTTCAAATTCTTGGGGCCTGCTTCTGTATCAGTGAACTAACAGCTGTTTTGTTCTATTTAGCTCTTGGGTGACCGGGATTCATGAGATGATAGGATGCATTCAGAGAAGAATGGATCATCTGACCGAACAGTGTTCAGCGCACAAGGAATTTGCTCATCAGAAACAGCAGTTAACAGCCTCCGTGGAGGGTTACCTAAGGAAGGTAGTTTCATAAAATGTGTCCTTCTAAAACTAATATTTAGATGTAACTGCTTAAACTCCATTTGCAAAGGTAGCCTTTTCTAATTTGGCAACAATAGATGTGGCAACTGCAGTGTGTTACAGACAGGGGTCTGTCCTCTTACGCTTCTCTTACATTCCACACTAAGTTATGTAATTGAACAAAACAAAAATTTAATTCATTCTTGCTTATCAACTATCCCTGTTACAGGTTGCAAAATTAGATATATAAATAACTCTGTTTGGTCACACCAGCCCTGAATATATATATATGCACAAAGGTAGCTCTTGCTTTATGGAGTACCATGTTAACTCAACCGTGACCATATATGGTATGATTCCCCTAATTTGGAGGCCTCCGTGAATGGCCTCCATATATGCATGTTTCGGTTAACATGGTACCATACAAAGAAAGTGAGCACAGCCTCTTGATATATATACATATAGAGAGAGACAGAGATAAATAATAGATACAAAAAATGATGACTATTAGGTTTTCCAGGTAATAACAATGCCATTATTATACTTTATAGAACTAAGCTAGTGTGAAGAGCAGGGCCATTGTGAAGATCCTCTTTACAAAGTGAATAAAAAGGTTTAGGATGGGAGAATCTTCTCTTTTCAAAGGAGACTAAAATCAGACAGCTACTATTTGAGTGAATAACAAATTATCTGTAAGTGGGATCCATAACAAAAATTGGTAATGTAGCAGTAATCTTAATGTTGACAAACTTTACCACACAGCTAGATCGCACATAATCGATGCTGTTTTCATTTGATTCAATGGCTTTATATGTCAGGACTGACACATGTAGAATTAGTAGTTTTTACAAGAGGGGGCATTCAATAAGTCTTTCCTTATTTCTATAACTGCAATTAAGGGTTACTGGGCCTGTCTGTATTTAAATGGTCTTCCCACCTGTTATTGATTTAAAAACTTGGGAATGTGCGTCTTGTTCTGATGCCTGGGTCTTGGGAGATTCCAAATATGGCACAGCTGTGGGGTGCTCACATTCCCTAGAGCTTAAGACTCAAGCTAATTTGGTAGTGGGGGAATACACAGTAGAAACTCAAACAGCTGTTACTGCTTGTCATATTGCCAATTCTGAGTCAATTTGATTCTGAAATAAGGTCTCTAGTTAGAGCAAAGAGACAAAGGTAGTAATCTGAATAGCACCCACTAAAGATTCCTTTATTCATTGATTTATGTGTGTTGTTGTTGTTAAGTGCCGTCAAGTTGATTCTGACCCAAAGTGACCCTGTACACGGTTTCGGAGGAGCAACTAGTAAGCTTGAACCACCGACCTTGAAGTTCAAACGGCTTTGCAGTCTGGTGCATTAACCCACAGTGCCACACCAGGATTGAAGAGTAAAATCATAGTCTCTTAAGCTGAATGATTAAATGGGATAAGTGTGCCCCTGTGTTTTACTATTATGTGTACAGGGTCAGGTATTGTCCTAGAACCCCTAGACCATAAATACAGCAACCGCTACTTCAAAATGTACTGGCAAATTGTGTTCCATTCAACTTACAGGGGATAATTGTGAGTTAATATTAACCAGATTAATTCTGATTAATCTCTGCTGCCGTATTGCAAGTACACTATTCTTTCTGGGCAATACAGATAAGTTCTTGGAGGATGTGGACTGTGGCTTATATATCATTGCCATTAATAAAAGAAATATCTTCAAACATACACCCTCTGTTAGTAGATCAGTAGTATTACCTCATATGAAAAGTAGCATTATTAATTTAAACATGAATTTCTGAAATATTTAAAACTAGTATTGAGATGAAAGTTGACAGATGTATTTAAAGTGTAATGGCAATATGAGGGGACTCCACAAAATTTGTAGAAAAATTCTATTATCCTTTTATTCCATTTTTCAATGGACTTTTTGAAGGCCCCTCGTATATACAAGTATATTCATATAGTACTAAGACTGCAAAATATTTAAAACATACTATTTATTAATTTTACATATTACATCGTTTATCTAAGGTGGAAATGTCAGTTCAGAAAATCAGCCTAATACTTTCCAATGCAATAGATGTCAGTTCTAACCTGTCTGAGTCAGAGACGATTATGAATAAATATCTGGAACTGGATATCCAAACTCAGGTAAACAAAGGGATAGTCATTATTGGGGTTACTATTTTGTGAATATAATTTCTCTTATTATTATTCAATAGCTATCAAATGTAATCTTAACTCCCTAGAGGGTTGCAATTTTAGACTGGCATTGTAACAAATAATGACTTAAAACACTCATACTATGTGTCTAAATTATTTAAATTCATATTGCACTTCTCAGGGTGCTTGGACTTACTGAAGCTCAGCATTTCTGCCTGTAATTAAACACGCATTTGACTTTTTCTTCACCTTGTCGATGTTAGCAGTTCCATTTTGGGGTGCCAGAGGAAGCGGGGAAGATGTTTCTTTAAGACTATCTGTGTTTTTCTGCTAGAACAAGTTGCAACCCTAAGTTGCCAGAAGTAACATGCACTATTGTAAAATTCCGGCAGGCAAATAAACCACCTGTTTGCACACCTAATGTCCAAAGACAGAAAATGCCCCTCTTTTCCCTGGCACCTGTCACATGGGATTTAGGTTAAAAATTCCTGTTAGCACTGAGGTCACCTGCCTGCTCTAGCAGGTGTTTAGGAAGGTGATTCACCTACCCACCTCCTGTCTCTCCCAGGTATACGGGGAATTTCCTTGTTACATCATCAGTTTTCAGTAGCAGAACCTCAAACAACCTCCTCCCCCTGAAACTCACAGATGGACCTTTTAAAAGTAATTAATGATAGGGTGTTTTTTTATTCCTATTTAAAATGTTCAAAATAAAATTTATGTCTGGACTCAATTGCACTTAAAATATTTTTGAAGGAAATTGCATGGGAAGAAACTCCCTCACTTTTCTCTTTCTCAGAGTGCTATATAGAAGCAGAGCTTGTAAATTAAAATAATCTATTCAATGGAGTGAGTACGTGGGATGCATATTAAATACAACAAGGGAAGCTAATCCCTCCTTGCTGCAAATGGAAGTGAAGCTGTTCTCTTTGTTTTTGCTTGATGACTAGCTTGATGTCAAATGAAATTTTTTTACATGGCTTTCCCACAGCAATTATATATAGAATGCCTACAATATCTACTCATCAATCTCATCAGCATTTAGTTTTCACATGCCAGAAGTTGTACTCAAAAGGAAACATAGGATAGCATCCCTAACCATATCAAAATCACTAACTCTTTAAGGTTATTTAGACTTAATGTGTAACAGTTTCCCAATATGTGTTTAAAATCACTTCTAGCTAGAATTTCAAATAAGACTGCATAAGTATAATTAATGTCATTCTTTTTCATTAAAGAAATAACTTTTGTATTTGCGAACTCTGGTGTGGCACTGTGGATAAACCCTGAACTGCTAACTGCAAGGTTGCTGGTTCAAACTTACCAGCTGCTCTTTGGAAATCCTGTAGAGGGTCACTATGAGTTGTAACCAACTGGATGGCACTTACCAGCAGTATAACAAAATTTGCTTAAGAAGTTTGCTAGATCTATTATTAAATTTCATCAGGCAACTTATGCACCCTCCTTGGTGCCTTATGAGTCTCTGAGTATGATTGCCTTTCTGACTTTTTTTTGCTTTACAACCATTTGTCCCCAACAACCTTTCTTCTGTCTGTGGCACAGAAAACAGAATGCTCTAAATAAGAATAGTGGTGGTGGTGGTTATGTGCTGTGGAGTAGGTTCTGCCTCATAACGACCTTGTACAGGGTTTCCGAGGCTGTAAATCTTTACAGGAGCAGAAAGCCTCATCTTTCTCCTGTAGATTAGCTGGTAGTTTTGAACTGCTGACCTTGTGGTTTGCAGCCTGATTCGTAACTACTATGCTACCAGAGCTCCTTAAGAAGAGTAGTAGATACAGCTAAAGAATCATTTGAGATGAATTTCATTTTGCAGTGCCTTTATTTTTATATTTTGAATATTATACCACTCTTTTATTGATGACAGTCTTGGTACAAGTTCAATTAATAATCACAGTAGATGGGTGTATGGAATGTAATGAAGTATGAATGCTCACGATTCCCCTGTCTGCTTCTGACCTCCTGTAATTTGCTTTCCCAGGACACATCACATGAATTAGAAGCAGCTGCAAAAATCATGACAGAGAAAAATGAATTTGGACCAGATGAAGTGGTATCACTTTCTTCTAAAGCTAAATGGCTAGAGGAAGAATTAAAAATACTTGGTCAAAACATTGGCTTCAGGTCACGAGTCCTGCAAACTCTTGTGGCATTTCTAAAGTCATCTGAAGAGGTATAGTACCTATGTGATGAGTGTATTCAACAAGGTGGCCCTTCCTGCTTTCTACGGGAAGATAAGTTTTGCCACAGTGGATACTTCATCTTCCACCTCAGTGTATAAGGTCACTTACTTACTTTTTAACTTACTTACGTTGTTAAGTGCCCTCAAGTTGTTTCTGATTCATAGTGATCCTGGAAAGTTTTTCTGAGGAGCAACTGGTGAGTTTGAACCGATGACCTTGCAGTTCCATCTTCCTTGTGGTCCAGTGTATTATCCTGCAGCACCACACCAGGACTTATGTATAGATCCTTCCTTATCTTCAAGGCACTGAATCAGTCCATTGCCATGAAGTCAATTTTAATTCATGACAACTCCACGTGTGTCAGAGGTGGTGTTGTTAAGAGCTGTTGAGTTGATTTCAACTCATAGCAGCCCTGCACAGGGTTTCTGAGGGGAGCAGACAACCTCATCTTTCTCCCGCAGAGCAACTGGTGGTCTCAAACCACCAACCTCTGGTTAGCAGTCCAGTGTCTATCCTACAGATTTGTAGTGCTCCCACTTATCAGAATAGAATTGTGCTTTATAGAATTTTTCAGTGGTTGATATTTTGTAAGTAGATTGCCAGACCTTTCAAGACACTTCTGTATGAACTTGAACTTCCAATGTTTTAGTCAGCAGCCAAATATGTTAACCATTGCAGCACTCAGAGACCCCAAGGCACAACAGAGGGTGCATATAAATTAATTCAAAGACTCAAAGAGTAAGTTGTTTTACTAAAAAGAGTAATACAAATGTGTGTGTATAGATACATAAAAATGAAATAGTTGTATTATGCCCTCCAAATATTTACAGCATCCTAAAGAGAGATCAAAATAAATTAAAAATAAATCACCAAACTATGGGCCTCTTTGAATAGCTAAGAAATTCATGTGGCTTATTTAAAATACAGAGAACTAGAGATCAAGATCTGTTGGGTACATTCTCAAGTCTGTCTCTGTTAATGCCTTTTTTAACAAAGCACTTCTGAGAACTGCTTCTGAGGGGTTTTTTTTTTTGGAAAGGATTGTATTTGATGTATTAGTTTTCTATGGATGTTGTGACAAATTATCACAAATTCAGTGGCTTAAAATCATGCAAATTTACTGTCTTATTAGTTCTTGAGGCCCAAAGTCCAAAATTGGTTTCCATGTGGTAAGTCAGGGTATTATTAACTAATTGAAAATAAACTAGAACCGATTCAAGGGACTCCCTGTAATGACACCGCTTGGATTTTCGTGGAGCAGGCACTCCACAAAATAACACATCCTCAGAAGAACCTCATGCCCTCTAAATTTTCATTACGTATTGTTGTTATGTGCCATCAAGTCAATTCTGACTCATAGTGACTATATATTTCTAAGGAGCAGCTGAGTTTGAATCATTAAACTTGTGGTTAGCAGCCCATTGCTGATCCTACAGCACCACACCAGGACTCGTTATGAAGTGTCAGAAATTATGGTTTAGCTGTTGTTGTTGTTAGGTTCCATCAAGTTGATTCTGACTCATATCAACACTCTGCGCAACCGAAAGAAACACTGCCTGGTTCCGCACCATCCTCACAATCGCTGTTAAGCTTGGGCCCAATGCTGCTGCCACTGTGCCAATCCATTTCATTGGCTCTTTCTCTTTTCCACTTACCCTCCACTTTACCAAGCAGGATGTCCTTCTCTAGAGACTGGTCCCTCCTGATAATATGTCTGAAGTATGTGAAATGAAGTTTCACCATCCTGGCTTTTAAGGAGCTTTCTAGCTGTACTTCTTTTAACACATTTTTTTGTTTTTCTGGCAGTCCATGGTAATTTCAATATCCTCTTGAATCGGGCTGTGAACTGCAAGGTCAGCAGTTTGAAACTACCAGCTGTTCTGCGGGAGAAAGATGAGCCTTTCTGTTCCCGTAAATATTTACAGCCTCGGACACCCTGTATAGGGTCGCTATGAGTTGGAACCAACTCCACAGCACATAACAACAACAACAACTTCTAATACCATAACTCAAATGCATCAACTCTTCTACAGTTTTCCTTATTCATTGTCCAACTTTCTCATGCATATGAGGCTACTGAAAATACCATGGCCTTACCTTATACTTCCTCAAAAAAACTTAAGTCATTGGGAATAAGTCTTAATTTCATTCTACTTCCAAACCTAATGGTATATTCACCACTCTTTCCTGTCTCCATAAAGTGAAATCTCTATCCCTGTTCAGCAATAATTAGTCCATCCCTGTATATATATGTTTACCTCTTGTCTGGTACCATGGTGGTTATGAATCGGACTGTGAACCTTAAGGTCAGCAGTTTGAAACTACCAGCTGTTCCGCAGGAGAAAGATGAGGCTTTCTGCTCCCGTAAAGATTTACAGTCTCGGAAAACCTGTACAGGGTCGCTATGAGTCAGAACCAACTCCATGGCACATAACAAGAACAACAACAACAGTCGTACTAAGGTGTTCTGGTGTGGTGCTGGTGGATAAAGCACTAGACTACAATGTTGGTTTGAACCACAAGTTTGATGGTTCAAACTCACCAGCCACTCCTTGGAAATCCTATACAGGGTCGCTATGAGTCAAAACTGACTCGATGGCCCTTAACAACAAAAAACAACAGTCTGACTAATCATCTGTTTTAATTTTTCAAGTTTGCCTTTCTTACTCCTTCCTTCCCCTTGGTCTTCAGAAATGCTCTAATGGTTTAACCCTTCCTCTGCATTTCTACTACCATTTCCTTGGTACTGGAACTCATCATCTCTAGCTCAATGAAACTGCTTCTTTCTGTTCCCCCTTTACTTTCTCCTTTGTGCAGCAAAAGATCATTCTGAAGTAAATCCTGAAATTCAGGGGCCACTTTATATATGTAATTTGTGAAGCAAGTTGCAAATAACTTTCCCCCAAATTGATGAAGTATTAAAGTTTATTATTAACTAATTGAAAATAAACTAGAACCGATTCAAGGAACTCCCTGTAATGACACCACTGTCACTTGCATTCAAAGAGACATTTTTGAGCCAGGGGAAAAGAAGTTGCCAGTTTATGTTTTCAGAATTGTACATCACTGACAGCCCATCAAACTCACATCACAACCTGCAGTGCACCATCTATTGAAGTACTGTTGACTGTCATACTAATTCTGAGCCATTGTGGTAGCTGCCAGTCATTTCCAACTAATGGAAATGAATTGTAGTCATGTTGGTTATGGTACTAACTGAGGTTGAAACCTGCTGGCCAGCATTATCCCAGCACAAGTATTCCTTTGTAGCCTGTCTCATGACTCAACTTGTGTCACCTTAAGCTTACCCACACCAAGAACCAACCCGCATTTTCATACTTACACCTTTATGCTTGCTGTTCCTTTCATCCACCTTCTCTGGATAATAATTCTTCAAGATACAGATCAAACAAATGTCACTTCCCCGGGGAGTTTGTTCCCTACTTACCCTAGATTGAGTCAGTGGTCCCTTCTCTGTGTGCTCATAATATTGTGTTTGCAATAAGTTGTTTATGGGCCTCTTTTTCCCAGAACTGTCTTTGGAAACCCAGGGCACTAAATGATTAATTCATATTCAACCACCACCATCAAGTCAATTCTAACATATGGTAAACCTAGGATTTCTAAGACTATAAATTTTTATGGGAGCAGACAGTCTATCTTCCACCTACAGAAAGGCTAGTGGGTTTGAACCACTAACCAGCAACCCGAAGTTTATCCCACAATACTACCAGAGCTCTTTTAATTCATAGTATTGTTGTTGTTAAATGCCGTCAAGTTGGTTCTGACCCATAGCAACTCTGTATAGGGTTTCTGAGGAGTGACTGGTGAGTTTGAACTGCCAACCTTGCAGTTCAAACTGATTTTGTTGTCCACTGCTTATCCTACAGTGCCACACCAGGACTCCAAGTATAATTCATACTGCTGTTGTTAAGTGCCATTGAGTTGTTTCTGACTTACAGTTATCCTGTATATAGTTTCCAAGGATAGGCTGGTCTGTTTGAATGCCGACCTTACAATTCAAACCAGTGCATTATCCTTCCACAAAATTGGCAGTTCAAACCCACCAGTTACTCCTCGGAAACTTTATAAAGGTTGCTATGAGTTGGAACTGACTTAACAACACTTAACAACAGCAGCAAGTGAGAATGAAAAGGTTCCATAGAGAAAGCAGTGTATTAGTTCACTTGTAGGCATATTATGGGCTGAGGCAACAAGTATCAGCAAGTACAGAGGCACGAATACATGGAATATGAGAAATGAGGAGATAACTTTCTGAGAACCATTTCAAGACTCTTTTTAAGTTCATTTAAATTAAGAATGATATTAAAATCTTTGAACTATAATGACTAGCCATTGCCTGAAATGTCCTACCATGTTTATATTGCTTTTAGTAGTTAGGAACAACCTGAGTCATGTCTTATTAGTTGTCCATTATTATTCAATATGCATAAAAACTTGTGTCAGACAATTTCTACTATTCATGTATCACCCAACTGCATGTTAATCTACACTTCTACATGAACATTTGATTTTATATAAGCTCTGCTCAAGGAGAATGATTTAAAATAATCTAATACTGCTATCACTGGTTAGTAAATGAGAAAATGTAATTCTAGGGAGGAAAAGTAATGTATTTCAACAAGATGAACTCATGGCGGCAGTTTCATATTAATTCTTCTACAGAAAAATACTAATCATTTGTACTCTTTTTGTTCTGGTTTGTACCTGATTATAATCAAATTCTGTGATTTACTAATAACTAATAATGATCCTTGGAAACCCTATACAGGGTTGCTATGTGTCACAATGGCATCGACAGCACTCAACAACCACAACAACAACAATAATCTTTAATTTACTTACATTTCTGACTTGTATTCCTAATTTTATATGTTTATCTCAATTATAAACTCAGCTTTAAATGAATTGTCGTTATGGGTCAGAACTGACTCAACAGCACTTAACAATAGCAACACCACTCTGGTCTTTGATATAAACTGTTCCAGATTGCAAAATTACACACAGTATATAAATCAGAATTTTACTACAATAAGTAGTTTTCATGGGTAATACATTTGTCTGCTCAATTTACTAGCCAGTGCCAATAACCTAAATAGGTTTCCTTTTCTTTTCAGTAAATTGACAATTGTTGTTGTTGTTGTTATTGTTAGGTGCCATCGAGTCGGCACCGACTCATAGCGACCTTATGCACAGCAGAATGAAACACTGCCCAATCCTGGACCAACCTCACTACTGTTTAAGGATTATTTTTAAAATTCTGAGAATATAGTTTCAGTTTAATTTTTATATAGGTTTTTATTGAAATCCAGAGTCCTAGTGTGGCACTGTAGGATAAGCACTGGGCCACAAGACTGGTTTGAACCACAAGGTCGGCAGTTCAAACCCACAAGCCACCCTAAACAGGGTCACTCTTGAGTTGGAACTGACTCAGCAGAAATAACATTAGAATCCAGTACTTTTTTCTCTTAAAAATTGTTCTTAAGTGTTCTTAATTGTCATTTCCATTATCCTTTTTTAGGTAAAGGAGCAGTCTCAGAGCCTAAAGGAGTTTTACCAAACTGAAATATCTTGGAAGGAAGAGGATGATGCTAACGCCAAGTATTGGTGTGACTCAGCTGAGAAACAGTGGCAGCTATTTTTAAAGAAGAGCTTTTTCACGCAAGACCTAGGGCTTGAATTCCTTAATTTAATAATTATGGTGAGAATAATATTAAAGGAGTCAAACATTCTGCAAGAATTACTTATCAAAATCATAAAATTCAAAAGTTTAACTGTCTATTATTCACCAGCAGTGCTGGCTTTAGAAGTTCTTTTTAGCTTCAATCAACCTAAAGCAGGCCGGAAGCCCAGCATTTACCGGTGCACTCGCTCCTAGATCAGTTGGTTTATAACATGAAGGCTATTATAACTACTAAGGAAAAATAGTGCCTACAAGCCCCAAGCCCCGTTGTTACTATGACGTAGTCCTCAGCAGAATTCCAGCAGATGTTCTGAGTTGTGTTGAGAGCTTGCAACGAGACCTCTATAAAATTTCTTGCAGCTGAAGATAAGGTCAAAAAATACTGGACTGAAACCAACCAGCCACATTGTTGGATTAAGTTTTCTGCTTCCGCAAAGATTTACAGGCGCGGAAACATATACAGGGTCACTGTGAGTCAGAATTGACTGGATAGCATCTAACAACGACAACAATAACAAAGATGAGGTCCAGGATAAATCTTGATTTTGAACTTTTTTTCCATATAACAAGTCTTTTTACAGTGAAACTCCATTACATTATAACAGGTCTTTTTTTTTTTTTTTTTTTTATAGTGAAACTCCATACATTTAGTAGGGTTCATTACATTTTAAGAGTCCTGAGTCATATCTGTAAAGTACCATAGAATTCTTACATCATCTAACCATATTAAGTTCCTTGTAGGAGTCACCTGGCACAGCAGACCAGGTGTTGGGCTGCTAGGTGAAAGATTGGCACTTCAAACTCACCAATCATTCAGTGAAAGAAAGATGAGGCAGCGGCTTCCATAGATTGACAGACTACGAAACCCTATGGGGCACTTCTACTCTGCACAATGTTGCTGTTGATAAGTACCGTGGAGTCGGTTCCGACTCATAGTGACCCTGCACTGGGTTTCTATGTACAATAGGGTTGCTATAAGTTGGAATTGACTTGATAGGAGTGGACTTTTTTTATTTTAGTTTTCAAACATTGCTGTTATTATTGTTAAGTGCCATCAAGTCGGCTCCAACTCATAGCGACCCTATACAAGGTTTCCAAATAGCAGCTGGTAAGCTTGAACCACCAACCTTATGGATAACAGTCCAGTGCTTATCCTACAGCGCCAAACAATGATTCTTAAATATGGTTACTCCATCTTTGATACCTAAAAAAAAAAAAAAATCAGAAAAGAAAGGTAGAAAGAAACTGCTCATTGCTCACTTCATTGTTGCAAAACACCAACTGACAGAGAAAAACTTTGGGGAAAAAAAGAGTTAAATCAACTCTGTCCTTATAACTGGTATTAACATTCTGTAGCTACACAGGTTAAAAATAAATAAATAAAGCATTGGTGTTTAATTCCTCTTCAAAGTCCAACTGTTGCTTCTAAATATGCACATCCTTTCTACTATTTATGAGGTAGATTCATTTCTCTTTCTATCCTGATCTCCTTTTCTTTGGTATAAGGAAAATGTTTCAATGATTTGATACAATATCCTTCATCTATGTCTGTACACTTCTCTCTAACCTGTCCCCAGAGAATTCTGTACTCTTCTGTTTATACCATGTTACAATAGCAGTTTGGTAAGGGACTCAAATCATGTTTCTTTGATATTGGGAAACAAAATTAAGTCTGAAGGGGCAAGATCAGGGATGTGGGGTGGATGGGGTAAAGCTTCCCAACAAAATTCTTGTAGGACAGCCCATACTACTTTGGAAAAATGAGCGGGTGCATTGTCATGATGGAAAACAATTCCTTGGTACTGCTCTTTTGGTCTTTTTCTCACGAATGCAGTTTCAATTTTCTTAAAACTAATTAATAATGAGCTCCCATGATCATCCTGTGTCCATTGAGATCTATCAAGGTGATCCCTTTGGAACCCCCCAAAGCAGTTGCCATACATTCTAAGCTAGCCTCTCTGCCTTGAATTTAACAGGGCCATAGATACCCTCTGAAGTCAGTTTTGATTGGACGTTTTTTGAAGGCACCCTAATGAGACTGTTGTTGTTGTTAAGTGCCATCGAGTCGGTTCCAACCCATAGTGACCCTGTATAGGGTTTCCAAGGAGCAGCTGATGAGCTTGAACCGCCAACCTTGCAGTTCAAACAGCTTTGCAGCTAGGCATGAATATTGCTGGCAGAACTTGTGTGCAGCCATTCACTATCACAGAGATGTGTTTAAACACATTTTCTGTGGAACAAATCCATGTTTGTATGAACTATAACCCTAACAGCAATATTTTTTACTTACCCTTGTATTTCAAAATCATACGTCAAATGTAACAACAACAACAAAACCCCCAAAGTACTTATCTGAGTGTTATTCTTTACAAATGAGACCTAAGATTATGGTGATGGTTTCAATTCACTTTGCTGTTTAATATTAAGGTTGTGATTAAGTAAAATTCCCATAGCATTTTAACTGCAATTCTTGCCAGCTAGGTCTCTCTCATTTTATATCTGTGCCACCATCTTAAGGAAATGTGGGCCTATTTACTCATGTTTAATTTCATTTTTCAGTCTTCACCTGTTATCTGCTCTGTTTACCATCCCTTGTGCCTTTTTTAATTCTGTAGATTTAATAAGTATGCCTTCTATGGCTGCAATTTGATCTTTAATAAAAGTATCTAAAGGGCAGGCTGACATCTTGCTTCATTAAATAATCAGTTGATTAACAGTTTTTAAATAATCATGAACACTCCCAATAGTGTTTACTATCACTATTTCACACCGTATTTCCTTAATCTATAATGAGAGATTTTCTCAAATACACTTCTCAGAATAATACATATGCCTACCCGGTGTTGTTGTTGTTAAGTGCTGTCGAGTCGGTTCTGCCCCTTAACCATCCTGTATAGGGTTTCCAAGGAGCAGCTGGTGAGCTTGAACCACTGACTTTGCGGTTCAAACCAGCTTTGCAGTCTAGTGCATTAACCCACAGTGCCACAGCAGGACTCCTTCATAAGGATAATTTGGCATAAATTAGCTTGGCTTCCAGTCACCAGGGCTTTTTTTTTCAAAATGCTCACAAACTGCTTGATAAGTGACAAATATATTGTACCGTTGGGTGTTTTTTGTTTTGTCTTGTTTTACTTTTTTCTTGTGAATTGAGTGAAGGTTTACAGAGCAGATCATCATTTTTACATTCAGCAAACCATACACTAGGTTTCATCTCAACCATTGCAATCCGCTCCATGTGCCATCAGTTAACAGTATTGGCTCCTATTCCCTTTAACTCTTGCACTCCTCTCTGTGTCCTCCATACCTTTATCTTTTTCTGCCAAGCACAAGTTAACACATGTCTACCTTCTAGCCAGGTGAAGAAATCAAATCTTTCCTCTTGAAAATCAGAGCATTTTCCTTTCTCTAATTTTCTGGCCTTCCTCCTATTTTATGTGTATTTTCAGAGATAACTGACATTTGCAATTTTCTCAGTACCATGGGATGTGATTAATCTGAGTCTGGAGTTTGATTTCACTGAGAAGAGTTATCCTCATTTACCTTGAGCTACAATTTTGTCTTTATCTTTGCTTCAACCTTTGCTATTTGAAGTCCATTCTTCTTCCACCTGAGAGTATTTGGGAATAATATATGTATCAAATAATTATAATTCATCCTAGATCATCCTTGAGTACCAGGGAAAACTTACTAGGTAATTTGCCCATGTCCCATTTTGAATTTTTGTAGCTTTAATGTTATATTTCCTACAGGTTTTTTAAAATTTATACTTGATTCAGTACATCTTTCATCTCTTGATTTTATACTTTTCTTATTTGTATTACAAGGGAATTCAAATATTTACAAAGTGCTTTTTTTTTTCTTCTTTTAACCTGTCCTTCATATTAATAAACTTAATTTCAGAAATTTTATTTCTACTTCTGAAATTTCCAGTTGGTTCTTTATTACATTTAGATTGTTAATGAAATTATCTTTCTTGTCTTCTTTTTTCTCTGTCTCTATTGTATTTGCTAGAATCATATAAATCATAGGTGTTTAAAAGTGCTTGTCAGCTAATGCCAACATCTGGATCTGGAGCTATCTCTAGTAACTAGTTTTTCTCTCAGTTTCCTGGTCATATGGTAGAGTCCTTCCTGTCTTTTGGAAAAACTAGTGAGTATTTATCAAATGTCAGGAATTGTGTATTGAAAATTGTAGGAACTCCAGATGATATCATCTTCTTCTAGAGTGGGCCCATTCTTCTTTCCCTATGTAGATGATTTGGTGGGAGACCACTTAATCCAATCAGGAGATGTTCTCTGTTGGGTCTGGAATGTAATCCACCTCTGAATGACCTTGATGCTCTAGAATTTTCAATGTAGTCCTTGGTAGGTTATCTGAGATTTCTGCCACTGGTGGATTCTGAACTCTGATTTTTGTATTGAGAGATTGCTGAAACACCAGACTCTTGTTATAGGAATTTTCACTTGGTTTTAAATGAACCTTCCTGCACAGCCCCAGTCCTTAGGGGAAGATAAATTGTGTGTTTAAATCCTCCTGCCCCAAGTATCTTCCAAAAGTTCTGCTGATTTCTATGTTTCCCATCAAAGCCCGGATTATCTTGTCAGTGCATAGAACTGATAAATGTCCAAGAGGTGAAATGGTTACAGGTCAGCTCATCCCTGTACTTTAAAGTCTTAACCTATTTGTATCTCTTTGCCTGTGCAGTTTTCCACCGCCTTCAAGTAGGTGTTTTATACAATTTATCTAGAGTTTCTAGCTGTTCTAAGCAGAAACACTTCTCTGCCACCAGCTGCTCCATTCTACATTTAAAAAAAAAAAAAAAAAAAAAAAGCACTGAAGTTTTTTTGGTTTTTTTTTTACTGCTTATTTAGAGTGTTTGTCTGTAAATCAAAATTTTTATTACTTAAGAGCAATCTACTCCAAATCATATTTTGTATCTATGTTCTAAATAAATTTAGGGTATCAAATGCCCATTTAGTTGCTACAAATAGTTTGTATTTTGCTACATGCATGGACATTCTCTTTCCTTATTATAAACATGGTCACTTCACTCCCAGTTTTCAATCAAGTAAGTTCCAATTTACTGACAAGAATTAAGGCTCTTAACTTTATTGGTTTAGTGACATTCTGAGAAATGAGATTGTTATTAAAGTAAGTAAAACACAGTATTTATCCTCTTCATATATTTTGTTGTTGATAAGTTCTGTCAAGTCGGTTTCCACTGATAGCCAGCATGTATAAGGTTTCCGAGGAGCAACTAACTGGCTGGTAGGTTTGAAGTACCAACGTTGTAGTTAGCAGTCCAGTGCTTATCCTACATCACCATACGGGACTTTTGTTGTTAAGAAAGAAGAGGACCAGCTGGCATTTTCATTTCCTGAGTGGCTAAATACTGACATTGGTCAAATACACGCTCATTCTTCCTCAATCCTTTTAGCTGAACATCAACAAATCCTACTTCTTTTGCTAATCCCTCTCACACCATCAGAGCTCCTGTATTTAATTGTCATTAGTTAAAATTTCCAAGATTATATTTACATTTTGATTCACAGCTTCTTGATAAGATGTGAAAGATAGCTTAACTTTATTTTTATCATAAAACCAAAAACGGAACCCATTTTCTTTGAGTTGACCCTTTAGGACTAGAACTTCCCTATAGGGTTTCCAAGGCTACAATCATTTCAGAATCACACTGTTACATCTTTCTCCTACAGAGTGACTGGTGGGTTCAAACCAAAGACCTTTTGGTTAGCACCCACTGTGCCACCTGGATTCCTATTTAAAGCATAGATGTTGTAGTTATCTAATATTTTTCATAATATATTTAATTTTGTTAATCATACTTTAAAAATCATTACCAGTTGTCACAAAAGGCAACTTTTGTGTCAACAAAAAAGTTGTCACTTGAAGGACTGGTTACAAGGGAAATTTTTAAATAATTGTAATATATAACAGGATAGTTTTCAAAAAACACGGAGGCCCCACAAAATCTTCCCCCTTGCGTTGGTCAGTTCCCATGATATTCAAATGGGTATGTAAAAATAAAACATGGGATTTGCAGAGGTATGTCAATAGAGTAATCAGAATCATAAAAATCTCTATTAAACAAAAATCTTAAAATGTGAAGCTATTTTTTCTTGACCTAGGTCTACATATACTTCTAGAGCAGTATTTCCTTCCTAGTGTGGTGCTGTGCGTTAGTGCTCTGGACTGCAAGGTCATCAGTTCAAGGTCACCATTCACTTCTCAGAAACCCTATACAGGGTCCTAGGAGTCCTGGTGTAGCTTTGTATATTAATGCACTGGACTGCAAAGTCGCTTTGCACTGCAAGGTCGGTGGTTCAAACTCACCAGTTGCTCCTCAGAAACCCTATACAGGGTCTCTATGGGTCGGAACTGACTCAACGGCACTTAACAACAACAACAACCCTTTCCCAAAGAATACTGGGCTCTTCAATTTGCACAATGTCAAAATAGCAACTTGGTATCCTCAAGGGACTCAAATCATATTCCTTTGAAATATTCTTTCCGTTTTGGAAACAAAAAGAAATCTAATGGGAGTAAGACTAGGGCTGTATAGTGGATCAGGTAAAGTTTCCCAAGAAAATTCTCATAGGATAACTTTAGTCTAAGAATGAACAAGTGTATTGTCATGATGGAAAATAATTCTTCTGTGCTACTTTCTTGGCCTTTTCCCCACAAATTCTGTTTTCTATTTTCTTAAAATTTCTTCATAGTAAGCACCCGTGATGGTCCTGTGTCCTTTGAGAAGATCTATCAAGATCACCCCTTTGGGATCCTAGAAAACACTCACCATACATTCTGAACTGGCCTCTCTGCTTTGAATTTGACAGGCCCAACAGAAACCCTTAGAAGTTTTTATTGAACTTTTGTCTTGAAGGCGTCCAAAGGAGACTAAGACACATGTATTGCTGAGAGAACTTGTCTCCAGCTATCCACTGATCATAGAAACATGTTTTATTTGGAATAAACACATGGATGTATGAACTGGAACCCTAGGAGCAACTTAACCTCATAGTTTAAACCTAATGCATTAAAAATATTTTGATTTCTGAATTATAGGTAGTGGAGCTTATTAAATTGTTCCTCAATTCCCAGGATATAGCCAGAACCTAAGGGAAATTCAAGCACAGGGGTCTTGAAGAACTTGGGATCTGAGGTTCAGCATAGAAAGGGTTCTGAGAACATAACTGTGCCAACACACAAGGAATCCAGACATATCTGAATGTCGGAATCATGTGTCCTGGTTTTGGCTGTGCTAAAGTATTTTACCTCCTCAAATAGTTGTATGCAAATTTGTTTTATCTCTTGGGAAAGAAATACAATTATGTGGATTGTTCCTTTAACAGGCCCAAGAGAATGTGATATTAAATGTGAAAAATGCAGTGCACATTATGGGGAACACCATGGAGAACCAGAATGCAGACAGAGAAGAACTTTCCTGCCTTCGGGTTGCATGGCAAATTAAGACCATGGAAAATAAGTCCATGAAACAGCAGTGGGGAGCATTCAAAGAACAACTCCTGAAGGTACTTTTGTATTTTGGGTCCTTGGTGGTTTAGAACCCTGAGTTCCCTCCAGGTAATGTATACTTTCATGAGGACTAAGAAGTTTAAGGACGGTCATCATCACACAAGTGATGGTGGCATATTTGCAGGTGGTGTCAAAGAAAGCATACACATAATTGTTCAATATTTGTTTCAGACGACTCACAACCTAAAACTTCTTCAGGAAGTACTTATGCCTGTCTCTGTGCTTGACCTTGGAGGGAGCCTCCAGACCATTTTAGATCTACAAAGAAAATGGAATGAAATGAAGCCACAGTTCCAGGTGAAGACATAGGTTAATGGATTTGGGTGGATAGAACACAGTTTGAAAACTTTTCTGTTGTGGTTCACCTAATTGATTTTAAACAGACTGGTAGATTACATTTTTTCCTATTGTTTGTCTAAAAATTCACTATAAAAAATTTTTCTTTACTGTATTTCTGCACTGTTTTTTATTTGATGATACACAAATAAGACCACAAAATATGTTTGACATTTTTTATCTTGTTGTTAAGTGCCATGGAGTCTGTTCTGACTCATAACGACCCTGTATAGGGTTTCCAAGGAGCAGCTGGTAGGTTTGAACCCTTGACCTTGTAGGTCAAACCAACCTTGTGATTCAGTGCTTATCCTACAATGAATGCCACATTTTTTATCTTAGATTATTTTAATTTTTATTAAATTATTTCTATATTAATATAATTATCATATATGAGTATATTAACTCTAAGGAGTATGGATGTGTTTTAGATTGAGCTATCTCCAAACAAGAATAGGCAACCTCAAGGATAGGCTCTCCAACCCTCAGTCCCTAAAAGTATTGCTGTGATGTTGATGTTCTCCCATGATACCCTAGGCTCCTTCCATCACCCCAGGGTTTTTGCTGTGTTCCTTCACCTTCAGAGTAATAAAATGATGAGTCATGTTTCTGGCTGTTCACTGTTCAACACATTCCACACCCCTCTCATCCTATCACCCCTAAGCTTGACACGACTGCCAAAAATGGTTTCCAGTCATGTTATCTTTCTGCCTTATTCTTTCCTGTAAACTTAAGACACCTGTGCTAATGTCTGTCACTGCTTCATATGTACTGGTTATGAAGAATCTCAGAGTCAGAAGACTGAAGATTTCTTTAGGGGATAGCTACTTACAGTTACCTTTAGACAAAACTGGGGTAATATGTAAGAATATAACCACTGCCATGCCTCACAGACACGTGCTGATTGTAGTCTGAAGTGAACTATTTTTTTCCTTCATACATCTAGAAAATGGCTTGATACACCTTTCATTGTCTGCTTCCTTACATTTTGTGTGTAAGTGTGTGGGTGTGGAGGGGGTTAGCACTTGTACATTTTTCTAGGAGAGCTACCACGGCCGAGCATCTTTAGCTCTTGTCACTGTATTGTTTCTATGTGAGATGACCATTGCTTGATTTTTAACTCAAACAGTCTTATTAGGTGGCTTTCCTATAAATTATCTTCGAAGTCTTAATTATTTCTGTTACTTTTACCACTGACACATGATCCATCCTTGAAATTTTATAGTAGCTCCCTCATAAAGTTGTTTAACCTTTGCAAGTTCTACCCCAGCGTCTAGACACGTTTGAGGGATATCTGAGCAGTGTTAGGTAAATGGGAAGACATTTTATCCTCCCCTACACTTGGTGGCTATTTGTGGATCCCAGATGACTGCATTGAAAACAGCGTATCTACTGTTCAGCTGGTGCTTCATTCTCATCATTCCCCCATTATATTTTTACACTTGTCTTTCCCCAGTGTTCTTACAATGCCATCTGATTCTAGTCTGTATTAAATATCAGAGATGAAGATGGGGGTTCATAAAATATTCTGCAGTACTTAACAGATGATTTGAATATTTGCAGTGTCATAGAAATAATGTTATTTTTCTATTCTATCACTCTAACTTTGAAACTTTTAACTTTGTCCATTTTGTTTGTCTACTGTAGTTTGGGTGAAAGTTCATAAAGCATATGAGCTTTCCATTTAACAAGTTATACTCATTTTGTTTTGTGACATTCTTAGAAATCCTCTCAATGTAACACACTGTGTCCACTTCCTCCCTGGGTTCCCATGTATTTTCATCCTTCTTCCTTAACCATTCTTGCTTTCTGAGTCCCTTTTGTCTCCTATGGTTGATTGTACTGAGCAGTACATTTGTCCGGCCTGTCTATTGCTAGACTGGCAGAGTCCTGGAATGGCACTGTAGGACAAGCATTTGACTGCAAGGTTGGTTTGAACCACAAGGTCGGTGGTTCAAACTCACCAGGGGCTCCTCGGAAACCCTATACAGGGTCCCTATGAGCTGGAACCAACTCCAGGGCATTTCACAACAGCAACTTTTGTTTAACTAAAAGTTGACCCCTGGAGGTGAGTTCAGTTCTAGGCTTGAAGGGTATCTGAGGGTCACAGTCTCAGGAATTTCACAAGTCTCTGGTACCGTAGAGGTTACGAATCCGGCTGCTAACCTCAGGGTCAGAAGTTCGAAACGACCAACTGTTCCGTGGGAGAAAGATGAGGCTTTCTGCTCCCATAAAGATTTACAGCCTCGGAAACCCTGTACAGGGTCGCTATGAGTCGGAACCGACTCCACGGCATATAACAACAACAACTATCAGACTAGTAAATTTGGTCTCTTGTATTTTTGAATTTTGTTCTACATTATTTTTCTTTCTCTTGTGCAAGACTTTCTATTATGATTCTTGTCAGAGCAGTCGATTGTTATTGTTATTATGCGCTATGGAGTTGGTTCCCACTCAAAGCGACCCTGTATAGAGTTTCAGAGGAGCGGTGACGTTGCCGTTCAAACCAACCTTGCGATCCAGTGCATTATCCCACAGCGCCACACCAAGACTACTCGATGGCTGTGGGTGGTTATGTGCTGTGGAATTGGTTCTCACTCAGTGCCCCTGCATAGAGTTTCCGAGGATGTAAATCTATATGGGAGCAGAGGGCCTCATCTTTCTCCCATGGAACTGCTGGTAGTTTTGAACTGCTGATCCTGAGATTAGCAGCCCAACTCATAACTATGATACCAGTGTTCTTGATAGTGGTAGTCATCCAGTTCGTAGTTCTGGTCTCCAAATAGTGGAGGCTGTGCTTTAGGTGGTCCATTAGTCCGTTGCACTAATTGTTTCCTTGAATCTTTGATTTTATTCATTCTTCTTCACTTCAGACAAGAAGAGACCAATAGAGTGCATAATAGATGGCCATTGGCAAGCTTTTAAGACCACAATCTTTACTCACCAAAGTATGATGTATAATACTGTCATTGTGGATTATATTATGACAAGTAACCTATTTGTCCCCCAAAACAGTGGTCCTAAGTCCCCATGGTCAGTGAGTTATTCCCTGAGGTGTTGGTTAGAATTTTGCAACTCCAACCATGACCACTTTAATATAATACATTTGTGTTGCATTCTCTCTGTCTCTTTTATTTCTGAAAAGATAAGGATGGAATAACACATCCCTAGCAGCAACCACAGTGCCTGGAATTTTGTAGGGCTTACAATAAGTACTTGCCAACAAATAAGAGCATGATTTTGTATTTAGGTCTTTGTATTGTCAGTTGTAAAGTAAAAACTCTCTAAAACCTAGATTTATTTTATTGTTTTAATTTATGTAGCAACTGAATGATGAGGTTCAGTACATTATAAAAGCATCAGAAGAGTTAAATGGTAAAGGAGCCCCTGTGAAAGACAAGTCTCAACATCTGAGGGACCTTATTCACCTCCATGAAAAACAGAAAGAGAGAATCCGAGATTACGAGGACATCCTGTACAAGATAGTCCAGTTCCACCAAGTAAAGGAAGAGGTATGGCTTAGAATGCATGACTGTAAGACTCTGAATTTTAAACTAGGGAATTAAAAAAAAAAAATCATTGTGTGTTAAATACAAACCAAATTCTTTATTCTGATATTAGAAGATTTACACAATCTGTCCCTAAACTTCTCTCTCACTATGTCCATATCCTCCCTTATGGTTCAACCAAACTGAGCCCTTCTTAGTCCCTGAGATGGTGCCCACATTCCTACTCCATTCCCTGACTCTCAGGTGCCCTTACCTGACAGTTACCTTCTCTTTCCTCTCCACCATAGAAAGCCTGTACCTTCTACCATTGATTGTGCTTCACTCAGGCATTTCTCCATCTTCTGAATTCCTAGAGCTCTCATTGCTTGTGTTTTGCCTATCCCTCATTTTTACCATCTTGATTCTTTTTGATGAGTGTAGTCTTTATTTCCCAACTGAAGTGCACATAAGCTCTTCACTAACAGACACCAAGTTCAATGTCTTTATATCTTGAATATCTGATATTGTGAAATGTTTAGTAAATATTACTGGGTTTCTTAATACCTTCATAGTTATTATCCTTTATACTCTTACCTCTAATGCAAAAGGGAGATATAATCATATTTCTTTAAAATAGCCTTCTAAATTTTCTAACATCATAAACCTAGAGTTGCTAAGGTTTTATGCTCTAGGAAGAAAAACAGTGTTTTCTTTAATAGAACTGACAATATTGGTTCCTCAATTTTACCGAGTAGATTTGCAATATTTTAACATTTGTTTAAGGAGCCCTGGTTGTTAAAGAGTCCTAACTGCTCACTAAAAGATAGGTGATTTGAAACCTCCACAAAAGAGAGAGGTAACAATCGGCTTCTGTAAAGAATACAGCCTCAGTGCCACCAGGACCCTTACAAGCCCTATGGGAAGTTCTCCTCTGTACTATAGGGTCTCTGAGTTGGAATTAATTCAATGGGAACATTTTGCATTTTTGTTTAACATTTGACTATGACTCTAAGAATTATGTATGGCTAGATAACATTTTTACTAGCCAGTATAACATACCTTAGGAAACAGGCTTTAATACAAAACAAAATGAAATGTATTTTATAAATGTGAAACCCAGGTTAATTGTTTTGTTTTTCTGTTTGTTTTCTTTACATTTGATTGAGATTTGGGTGAAAGCATACAAAGCAAATTGACTTTCCATTCAGCAATTTGTACCAATTTTGTTTTGTGACATTGATTGCAAGCCTCTTCCTACTTCCTCTTGTTGTTTCCCCATTTCCTTTTCTCTTTCTTTACTATCTCTTCTGCCTTGCTGAACTTTATCCATGGGCAAACACTGCCCTTTTAGACTTGAATGGTTGATTGTTCAAGGGATTATGTATCTGCCTAATGTTAATGGTCATGTTATAGGCCCAGGTTAATTGCTAATGCCCTAAATTCCAGCTTGGACATCTCATCAAATCAAGAGAATTAGAGTTTCTAGAGCAGCCGAAGGAACCGAATGATGCTCGTGATGCCCAGGTTCACCTGAGTCGCTCGCAGGAAAAGCAGGCACATATAGACCATCTCCATAAGCTGGCCCTTTCCCTGGGTGTGTGCATCATCTCATCAGTGCAGCAACCTGTAAGCAACTTTGAACATCATCATTTATACCTGTCTATAGCTGGGAGTCCTGATGTGGCGCTGTGGGTTAATGTGCCAGACTGCAAAGCCATTTGAACTGCAAGGTCGGCAGTTCAAGCTCACCAGCTGCTCCTTGGAAACCCTATACAGGGCCGCTATGGGTCAGCATCGACTCAATGGCACTTAACAACAACAATAGCTGGGATTTGGGATATAATGTGAGTGAAACCAGATTGCCTACCTAGTGTATGCTAAATGAAAAGTACATTAAGCCATTGGGATGGTTTTTTGGCAAGGAGCCCCTGATGGCATCATCGGGGCAAGGAAAGCCCACGGCGACATTTCTACTGTATCCTATAGGGCTATTATGAATCGGAATCAAACTTAATGGCAGTAGATTTGGTTTTCCAGTTTAACACAAAAGCACAAATAAATAAGAAAATAAAAATCTTCTTTTATGTATCTGTTCTCGTATGAGATTAAGATATAAGAGTATACTTTAGAGCTGTTCTCTCCAATAAGACAGTCATCTCTTCAACACTTGAAATGTGACTATTGCAACTTAAGAATGAAGCTTTTGATGTTATTTGATATTAATTAAAATTTAAAAATGGGTACTCCATATGGTTACTGGAATACTTCTAAATATGTTGGGAACATCTTGGATACGTGAATCCATTTTTTAAAACTTTAAATTTTATAAAAGCTAAACACATATCAAGTAGTTTTTTGTAGAAATTTAGCAATAGAATTGAGATGTACCTTAAGCATGAACCACGCACCAGATTTCAAAGACTTAGATAAAAATAAAACAAAATATATATATATAATTTTTATATTCAGGTGGCGGGTCAAAAGTACGATTTACATGGGTCAAAATTATGAAACTTAAATATAATATGTTGCATTAAATGGATCATGCAGATTAATTTACACTTTTAATCTGACTACTCGTTACTTATGTGGCGCACATTATTTTTCTATTAGAAAATGCAGCTGTAGCGTGTCAGATCTGGAAGTATCTTAGCAATCATTTAGACCAGCATTCTCATTTTAGTGGAAGACTCTGGGACTCAGAGAAGCAGACTGTTTTATCCCTTGTGACTGGTAGACCCTGAAAGACCCAGAATGGTGGCGGCCAAGTCCCCTGACTCTACTCAGGGCTCTGGTCACTGGTCACTGGGTCTGCTCTTGACTTTAGCAGAAGAGTCTAAAAGAGAAGGAAAGTATTTATACATAAAATTCTCACAAATAATGTATACTGAGCTTTGGTTTTTAAAAAATATACTTTCTCAAATTTGTAATTTGAGGGGGGAAAGATTATATTTATTCTCAACAATATATGGTAGTGTTTATGTGCCGTGGAGTTGGCTCCGACTCATAGCGACCCTGTTATAGGGTTTCTGAGGCTGTAAATATTTACAGGAGCAGAAAGCCTCATCTTTCTCCTGCAGAACTGCTGGTAGTTTTGAACTACTGACTACGAGGTTAGCAGCCTGATTCATAACCTACTACCAGAGCTCCTTCAACAATATATAGAACATTTAAAAAAAAAATCGTGATGACAAATTTTAATTTTAAAGTTCATTTAAGAGCTCCACTATGCTATATGGAATGCAGTCCTTGGGTGGTACAAATAGTTAATGCTCTTGGCTGCTAACTAAAAGGTTGACAGATTGAGTCCATCCAGAGGCTCTTCAGAAGAAAAGCCTGTGAATCTCCTGGTGAAAACTCAGCCCTGAAAAGTCTCTGGAGCACAGTTCTACTCTGATACACTCAGGGAAGCCATGGTCAAAACCAATAATATGGAGTAAGTGAACCTAACTTTTTTTTCACTGAAAGATATAGAAATACAAAATATCTGTTCCTGTCCATAGAATATTTTTATTACCAAGAAAAAAACTTCCTTTTTAAGAGTGTGGCTTTATTAGTGAATTTATTTTTTAAAGAAAGCAAGAAGTCTCACATTGCACAAATCACGAGAACTGTCCTCCTTACCATGCCTGGCCTTGGCCCCAGCAGTCCCTCTGCATTGAGTAGAGATTGGAACGTTTGCATAATGAACCTGAGGTTAAGCTCAAATTGACAGGAAAATTATAGTGCAGGAGATGAATGTTTCTAATGCATATTTTATGCCTTTTGAAGTAAAAATTATACCTTATAATGAATGGTGTCTCGGAGGAGTTGAGTGTGATGAGCAAATCATCAAAACTAGAGATTCAAGACTAGAAATGTAATGGTTTGCCTTTCCCATAATGTTGGGTGTCTGGTTTCTTTCTGAAATAATTATATTCAAGCATGCTTAAGGTAAAAATAAATCAGAAGCCAATTTCTTTCTTTTTTTTTCCCCCCTAAAGAGTGTCATTTGTGCATTTCAAAATACAGGTAAATAACTGATTCATCTCATTTCTATTTTATTCATTCTCTTAGTCCATTTATCCCGTGTTTTTAGAATTGCTTCAATGTTTCTGCAAAGAACCTACAGCAGCAGCTGGAAATCCTTGAGGGGAACATTCTGAATTGCCGTGCCAAAGCTGAGGCCTCTGAGCGAGCCCTGTCCCACAGCTTACAGTACTGCATCGCAAGCGATGAGCTCAAAGAGGTGAGAACTGGGGTAGGGATCCCTGAGAACTGACACATTGCATAAAGCTGCTCTGAACCTAAAGCTTGTTCCTCAACCTCCCATACACACACCATGGGACCAGGCTTCTTTCTTTCCCCACTGAAGTCAATATCTTGTCAATACATAAGACAGAAAAGAAAAAGCCACCTACAATGTACTGCTAAAGTTTTTTGTTTTGTTTTCAGTCAAATCCTTACAGCAGTTGCTTGCTTACATGTATACAGAGTTTTCAGGCCAGGGAGGAAAGGATGCCATTGCCCCATTGCAGTCAGCTCCAGCCTGCTGAGATTCTATTTAAGTACCACTGACTCACAGTAAATGGGTGCTGAGGGCCAGAGGAGCTAGCTCTTTCCTTCAGAGGCTTACAAAGTATTATCACCAGAGTCAAGTGGCTGGTTTCATATTTATTCAAACTGAGTCGCTGTTCTGGCAAAACAACTGTTAAAGAAAAAGTGGTCCTCTGTACATGTACCCATGACCTTTGACATCCATAATTCCATCTCCTCCCTCTCTACTCCAAAGTGTCCTCCCCACCCCCTCTGCCCCAGATGCTTGCTAAACTACAACCCACCACCCTCCACTAGCTAAGCTGTTTATTCAAAGGCTTACTTGTTTTATATAAAAAATGCCCATCAGGATAGCAAGGGTCCTGCTTCTTAACTGGAAACAGAACACAAGGGTATCCATAATTCCAATTATATCTTCATTTCTATACCCTTTCATCCTCAGTCCATGAGGGAACAGGATAAGAGAAGAGGAAACTGTAAAAGCCCAATTTACAGAATCTAGGTCCAGCAAGTGTCAACCATTAAAGCATGGACAGAAGTGTGAGAGTAGCTAAACTCGGATGGTGTAGCTCTGAAACATCCCCTCCTGCCCCTTTCTGCAGTTTATAGTTGTAGGAACCATATGCAGTTGAGACAATGGAGCATGACTGGAAGGAAGGAGAGAAGGGGAGAGAGCAAGAGAGGTCTCTGTCTCTGGATTCCATTGGACAGGAGGGACACAGGAAACAACAGCTAACAATGATGTTTATCTTCGCAATGTGCTGCAGGATGGCAGTTTCTGCTCAGGCTGTTCCAAGGAGTAAACTTCAGGACAGAGACTCATTAACTCATTCGTGACTCAACCTACATTACACCTTAGCTCTACTATAGTAGAATGGGCTTTTCCTTTACTAACCCTTCCATCATATTGTTGACACAGTAACACTCCAAACAGTTATATAAATGTGTAAGGTCTTGTTTAGGAAAATAATCAAAAAGCATGGTTCTTTCTGAGGTGACAAAATTTGGATTCAGCAGCCATCCAAACAAATGTTTTATAATCTTTCTCCAAAGGTATCTTTATCTTCTCTCTTTCAATACCACTGTCTTGCCTATAATCTCATCCTTCGGTGATGGTTCAGTTCTGTATGTATTGAAAGTACAAGTGGAGTCTACTAAGGGTTATTCCCAGTTCCTTATGTCTTGGGTTCCATCTCCCTGGGTAGCTGGTGGAATTTACAGAGCCAAGTCTCTCTGTTCAGACCCTGCCTTCAGTGGTTCTATTTTTGGGAGCCACCTCGTGATGGAAACCAGCAGGTCAGGATGACAGATGTTCCCTCCAGCTATGGTAGGGACACCCCATGATTGTCTGTACCATGTCAGGAATGAGCAACCAGATACACATGGGATTGATTTAGGGATCAGATATCACTTGCCTGTGCTCTTAAATATTGACAGAGGGGTTCTTCCCACTTGCTCATACTTCAAATCCAACTAATCTTTAATGCAAGTTGCAGTTTCACATTTAAAAGCTTTCTGAAAATCTTTGTTACTTTTCCCCTTTCTTTCTTGTGGTAGTATAGTAGGCATGTCATAACATGGTGTACCATTCACACCCTAGATGTTCCAGCCCAAGAGAAGCCTAATGGGAAAATAATCAGAGGACATATTTTTAGAAAAACAAAAATATGTGTGTTTCATGCTCTTTAGCTACTAAAACACTACTGTAATTAAAAGCAAAATATTATACTTTTTATGATATTAAAAAATTAGCCAGAGATATCCTGTTGGAGAATGAGATCAAGCAAAGTACTTGATTTTTATTTGATTTTAAAACACACTGTTTTTGCCTACAATGTGCTTAAAATGTTTCTAGGAAAGAACTATAGTTTCACATGGGCACTATATGTTGAAAGAGATTTTGCAGGATATCTAATCCAACAGGAGAGAAAACTGAGTTATGCATCAACCTTTCTTGAACACCAACATGTTTGTCACTTGCCAAACTCAGACTACAGCATTTGCTTAATCTTTTTATCACATCCAGCCACTGAACAGTCTGATAGTCTAGTTAGCCTTTTTCTGCGTTTTCCTCTGCTATCTATTGTAAGTTCTTTGCATGATATGATACAATAATCTAGTTCATTTGGCCATTTAAACTAAAACTACTTTTGTGACTATGCTATGCCTAATTTACATGATCTTAATTGCATTGGTGGTTCTTAGAAAAGGACTTGATACCTGATGGGAAAATAAAGTCAGGTGCTTTAAATGTGATTTTTTTTTTTTTTTTTTTT